ATTTTTTTTTTTTTTTTTTTTTTTTTTTTTTTTTTTTTTCATTTAATGTTTATTTTATTTCAAGTAATGAAACTGTTTTTATGGTTTTAGTTTTAGTTAACAAAAACCAGCACTAGACAGATCCTGACTAGACAGCATTTTACAGTGACTGGGATATGGATTGTATATATTATATTTCTTTGTTCAACCGACTCAGACTCAGTGCCAGAAAGCCTCTTTGATGTCATTTGTAATCTATATGAAGTGTGTCTGAAACCATATGGAGAGGCAGTGATAATTCATTACCATCTGAAATCAAGTTCAATGGGCTTGTATCATTTTAAGTTTTTACTTTTTAAATGTAAACCTTTTTCTGCCAAAGTCACTAAATATTCACTAACAGAAAGTGAAGTGCTGTGAAGGGCTCAAAATGTGCTACCATGTTATATGTTGACCTTGTGCAAGAACAGCACAGATATGAGCATCTAAAGAAAATGGGAAAGAGTCCAAAGAAAAGATTATGGCAAGAGAGGTGGGGAAAATAGAGGGGAATGGAACACTTTGGGAAGTAGGGGGACATGAATTTCAAAAAGCACCACATTTTCCCTTCTGTGTTCATCGGATAAAAGAAATAACTGTAAATCCAATATTTTGTAACTTAACACAGAATTAAACTTGTATGATATCAGACTAGTTTAACAACATTTAACACATTTCAGTGTTTATTGTGTTTCTCCCCAGATTTATATCATTTGATCTGGAAAACAGAGCCCAACAAGAGCTTTGGGAAACTTACAATCAATGTGAGACGGCATGACTATTACATTATACACCCACAAGCATCATGTCATGGTTTTGTTGTTGCAGCTGGGATGACCTAATATGATGTTTGAGGAAGAGGGAAAAAATAAAATTAAATAAAAAACAAACAAATATATCAATGAAATAAAATAAAACCTAAAATAGAGATTTGCAACAATGTTAGAGTATTTATTCTGTATGTGTAATATGTCTGTTCTGTATGAAGGTCAATGACAAAATCCTTAAAATTTGCTTCAAAACGTGTACATTCTTAGGCCGGTGCACATTTTTGAGCAGTTTTGCCTAGCAACTTTTTTTTGAGCAATGTTGCTTGAGCACTTTCCCATTGAGAGTGGTTAACAAATTTCTATCTGGATACTTTAGATCGGTCGTGGGCCCTCTGTCTCACCTGGTTGCCTGTTGATGGCAACATTGTCCAAAGTTGCCCAGCAACATTGCTCAAAAAGTTACCCTGTGTATCATCAGCCATAGAAATGCAGTCTAAGATGTATTCATGTTGATTTCTTATTTAAAAACATTTTAAAATGTAAAGTTCTCTTAAGTTTCTCTTGAGACAACAGAAAAAAATATATATTTTTTTTCAATTTTGAATAAAAAAACCCCACCCTATTTCACAGGTTATTGTTATTTTTTCCCTCCTAGGCCGAAGAAGCCCTGTGACCTCTACAATGGCAGACGTCCTGCAGCTCAGTACCAACAGTCTACAAGTGCCAGGTAACGTTTCATTAAACTTATTCTTTGGGATTTGATACTGTAATTCAGACTTGAGAAAATCATATTTGTAGAATATCCTAAGGAACCTTGTAGATTATAATAGTTATTTACATCTACAGTATATAACCAGAATTGATATACAGAAGACATGTAAAACAAAATGCACAGCTGAATAGAAACCTGTGGTCATCCACATTACATTTTGCTGTAATTCCTGACTATTCCATCAACAATACTGAACAGGGGTGTGACCCTCTCTTATCTATGCTCTGCACTCTTGAGAATATCTGTACACGTCGATAGCATTCCTGTCATACCCTTGAGTAAATTCCACCCTTGTTTGAGTGTGTGCTCATTTTCAGGCACATTAAAGCGACCTTGATGGAGGGGTCACTACAAGTTGATAAAGTATTTGCCATGGAATTGCATTTTGATCTGGAAAATGTACGTAAATTTGACCATGTTAGGAATTATGGAATATTCGGAATTCTGCTCCTGAATTTCCTTGTCAGTGTTGGCACAGATATGAGACACCAAAAATCTAAGTGTTTTTTCATGACATTCTTGGGAAGAACACTGAATACTCATTTTAACTTCTATGTTTTAAAGATGGCATGAAATGAAAATTCACTGTATCATCATCTATTTTCTAAATGCATGTTATTGATTGATTTTTTTTTTTTTTTTTGACTTTGTCATTTTTAAATGCCATAACTCGATGTTCCAGTGACATAAGTCCTCAGTTGACTGCAAGCTGGCATTCAGATCTGCCTCTGTTGTTAAGTGCAATGCCCATATCTCAAAATCCAATTAATATTCAATGGATAGAACCAAGTCCCTTTTCGATGAGCTATTGTACATGTCACAAAAGAGAGGAAAAGATCTGTTTCTACTAATTTTTCCAATGAAAACCATCTGCTGGAAATTCTGAAACTGGTAAACACATGCCAGTTGGGCTTAAATGCCCAGGCAATCAATATGGAATTTTCCAGAAATCTTTGATTTCTCTTAATCGCTCATCCACAATTAAGAGTCCTGAACTTGTGTTTTCCAGTACAATACATGAGCAGCTTACTAAGTTAAAGACTTCTAGGATTTCTTCCTTTGTCTCTAATTCCTTCTCTTTCATCTTGTCTTCTTCAGGTGAAGATAGATCAGCCTCTATATCTCCATCTGGTTCTCCATCTCCTTCCAGAAATGAGTGCAGTATCACTCCTCTTACTCCCTCCCCGTTTCCAGTAAGATCCCAACAGACACAGTACTCTACCATGCACCCTCTGTAGTGCTTTAAATGATAAACATTGTCCTCAGAACTGGATTAAATGCCAAATCAGATGCTTTAAACTACAGTAATGTTGAAAGAGGATATGGTACCCCCAGACATATGCAATTATGCTTCTTTACTTAACACTAAGTCAGTTGGTTTAAAGCAGCACTATCATTAGCTAATCTTCCAGTCTGCAATCTGGGGCAGCACAAAAATGTTTTGTTTGAAAGCCAACTTACTCCTCACTTAAAGCCAGTGTTGGGGCGTACATAGTTATACAGTATGTAATGGCGTTACATAATTTAATTACAACATAAATGTAACTGTAATCCAATTACAGTTACTGAGAAAATGTTAACGATTACAACGTGGGTTACATCTGAATATTTTCTGTAAAAAGCTATGATATGTTGAATAATATTATTTTGTTGCTTTGCCTGTTTTTGATGTGCATGATGCCTCCTGCTATTTAAAGGCTGTTTAGTAAAGCGATGCTATTCTGATGCTTTTGATTGGTTCTTGTTTGAATTGGCAGGGCACCCTGTCTGCCAATTCCATCAATCCATATTGCCGCTGAAAGCTTTAGGCTACAACCTGTTAAAGTAAAGCAATTGAAATAGTTACACTACTTATTACATTTTAAATAGAGTAACTTGTAATCTGTAACCTATTACATTTCCAAAGTAACCTTGCCAACACTGCTTAAAGGTGAACTGTGTCATTTCTGTGCAACTAGTCACAAAAAACAGGTTTCTCAAACACTCAACCGGTCTGCCACTGGTTGGACAACACATAGTCCTGACTCAAACTCATGCCATTGGTTGAACCAATAGCCCTGTCTCAGTGGTTTTTCACATGAAACGTGTTTTTGTATTCCACTGTGCTGCTCTTTTGTTGTTTTTGATGTCTTTAAACGCTGCACTCATGTCTCACGTCTTTTTAGCATCTCACAAATGACGCGCCATTCTAAAAACATGGCTGTCAAGTTGAAAAAAGTTAAACTTTTAAAAAACCTGTCTTGAGATCTTGTTTTTTTTCCAATTCCAATGCCTGCGTATATGCAAAAACGCATTTGTGTGAACGACCCCTTAGGAGTCATTCACACAGAATGCCATTTTGCATCCCCGTTCCCTCCTGTTTTTCTATTTAGATATGTACTGTACAGACGCGTTTCTCTTTTGCGCTTGTGTATTTTGTGTATTTTGAAGTGTCTTGCACACAACACAGCATTCTAAAAAATGAGGTGTTCAAGTTAAAGAATTTCAGCTTTTTAAAAATGTGTTCAGCCTTTAAAAAAGGACCTTGCTTTTTGACGTTGCTTTTCTTTCCCATTCCAGTGCTGTGCATCTTGCATTTTAAATGTCACCTTTATTTTCTGCGTTCCACTGTGCTACATTTACTTTGTGTCTTATGCAGCATCTTGTGCATGACGCAGTGTTCTAAAAAGCGCTAAAAGAAATTCAACTTTTAAAAAATTTATACTTTACCTTTTTTTTAATACACTGTCCTGCATCTCACATTTTATGCACAAAAACATATGTAAAAATCAGCTTTACATAACTAAAAAATAGTGATATGACCATAACCTGAAAATAATACATGATACATTCCACTCTGAGGTGGTCAATGTAAAACTCAGGTCAGGGAATTGATCTAGAGACAAGAGAAGAGAGGGAGAAGGTGGGGTCAGCTACTCTCCGTACCAAGGAGAACCTTTTGTAAAGCCACCCCTTTGAAAAAGAGATAAGGCAATAGATTTATTTTCTTTCTGTCTACCTTGTGTTCCCTCTGCAGCGGACAGAGGTTAGACCATGTGTGGCTCGTCCATTTTCTGTGGTTGTTGCTATAGATTTTGGCACCACCTCCAGTGGTTATGCATTCAGTTTCACAGAAGATCCTGAGACCATTCACATGATGAGGTATGACATCAGCACACAAACATTGTCTAACCTGAAGTTATTGTAACTCCCCCATCCATAGTCTTACCCTACATTTCTTTTTTTTTTTTTTTCACAGACGGTGGGAGGATGGTGACCCTGGTGTAACCAATCAGAAGAGTCCAACCTGTCTGCTGCTGACCCCTGACCTCCGGTTCCACAGTTTTGGCTTTGCAGCTCGAGACAGCTATCATGACCTTGACCCTGAGGAAGCCAGGCATTGGCTCTACTTTGACAAATTCAAAATGAAAATCCACAGCACTAGTGTAAGCAGAGCATCTATTGTATTTTGACTGTTGTTGATATATATATATTTGTTCAAGTAGAGTAATTGCTCAGCTTGGGGGAATCAAGCATGGTTGTTAAGGTATCACAACACTGTCAAACATATATCTACTGTCAGTCTGCAGCAGAGGATAAGGGGAGTGTATTATTTATGTCACATCTCGGTAAGCATTTCTGCAGCAGACTATTTTATTTTCAATAGGATCTCACTATGGAGACCGAGCTGGAGTCTGTTAGTGGAAGAAGAGTTCGGGCTATTGAGGTGTTTGCTCACGCCTTGAGGTTCTTCAGAGAGCATGCTTTAAAGGTGAACCTAAACACACAAAGCAGAATTTAAAAAAAAAAACATACTTACTCATGCAGTATACAGACACACACATATAAATAAGACAATACATTTATATTTTATAATTATTTACCTTATATATATATTTAATATTAGCTAGTTAACAATAGCACAAGTCAAGCACACCACCATGTACTGAAGTATTTTGCAAAGAGACTACCACTGTGTTGAAGAGTGCACAGCCATTACTGTTTAAATAAAACAACTTAGAGTCTTAATGGTGTTTGGCCAATCACCATCGTAACCACGGGCTCTACTCTTCAGCACAATGGTAACCCCAAAAACTCAGACATACCAGAAACCCTTTTAAATTCCAAAAGAATCGAACATTAAACACTAACAGCACTCCCCCTATAATAATATTGAGCAAAAACACATGAAATAACATTCAATTTTAACATTTACTCTCCTTTAATAGTCAGAAACAAAGCATGCTGGGAACTAGAAATCTGCTATAACTCATTCACTTCAAGAAACCTACCTGCAAAGCTACAATAATGTAAAAAGTTTTAGGCACTTGTGTAAAAATGCTGTAAAGTGAGGATGCTTTCAAAAATAAATGTTCTGTTTACCCTGGGGGGTTATTGCTGCTCTCCCTGCTCTCATCCATGCTAGGCTGCATGGATGCGCAGGGAGTTCTTGCCCAGAACAATCCAAACTGTATGCTAATTGTCAATCATCTTTGACGATAGTGGTCCTGACAGAAATATATATATATATATATATATATTACTATATTAAATATAGTCTTTTGCTTAACAAGCTGGTATAGACTCCAGCATACCAACAACCCTACACAGGACAAAAAGTTTGCAGAATAAATAGATACAATTTCTTTGTACTTGTACTTGATTACTCAAGAATTATTTGAACATTTGTGAAACATTTTTTAAAGTCTGTTTGTCTTGGTTATTCCTTTATTTATTTAGGCATTTTTTTTACAACCTATTTTAGTTGTGCAACTTAAATTTCCCTCCAGGGCCAGACTGAACATGAACAACCAGTATAATGTAGAGCAGTAGTGTGCTGTGGCTTTGCTCCAGATCTATCAGGATGCACTTTTCCTTCACTCAAACAAGAACACATCCAGTCTAGGTGAAGAGTGGGGGTTTGGGAAGGTGGAGGTTCTGGGCCAATCTGTAGTCAGACTTTCCTGGACCCAAACCTTCTTCCTCCTTCTTCCTGGAGCCCCTGAAGGCTTGTGGGAAAACATTAACATGGAGATTTCGCCCGAACCTCTGGTCATGCATGAGGGTCATGAGTTTGACATTTTTTTAGAGCGGAACGGAAATAAGGGATATCAATACCTAATAGACGTATGAAAATGTTAGTAATGTAGTTTAGATAAGAGTTGGAAAAGTAGTAATATTTGTGTGTGTGTTTTTCAGGAGGTGAAGGACCAGTCTTCCTCTGTGCTGGAAAGTAATGAAGTACGGTGGGTCATCACTGTTCCTGCGGTGTGGCGGCAGCCAGCTAAGCAGTTCATGCGAGAAGCTGCGTATTTGGTAATGTTGGATTACTGATCTGAGAAAACTGAAAAATTACAAATTCAAATACAAACACTTTCTTTCTCTTGTTCGTTCTCCTTTTTTTTCTTCCTCTTTTTCTTTTTCTTTCTCTTTTTTCTCTTTCTCGCTTTCTTCTGTCATGCAGACATACACAAAAGCATACTCCCATATTGAACATAATGTCCTGCTGCCCCCCAGTGAAGTTCAGGAAATGTGTGTATATGAAAAAGAATGCAAAAGTCACTGCACACATACAGTAAATGGGAATGTTGAAAGACTTTTGTATGAGCGTGAGAGGTATAAAATACGTCAGTATTGTACGTTTTAGTGCCTGTAAAAACGTAAGTAAATGTACGTTTTATAGTACCACATTTTACGTAAAATACATACAAATTATCATGAGATCACGTTGGTAAATTCCACCCATTTTTGAGTATGTGCTCATTTGCAGGCATATTAAAGCGACCTTGATGGAGGGGTCACTACATGTTAATAAAGTATTTGCCATGGAATTCATTCTGTACTGGAAAATATACGTAAATTTGATTATGGAATGTTAGGAATTCTGCTCCTGAATTTCCTTGTCAGTGTTGGCACAGATATGAGACACCAAAAATCTAAGTGTTTTTTCATGACATTCTTGGGAAGAACACTGAATACTCATTTTAACTTCTATGTTTTAAAGATGGCATGAAATGAAAATTCACTGTATCATCATCTATTTTCTAAATGCATGTTATTGATTGATTTTTTTTTTTTTTTTGACTTTGTCATTTTTAAATGCCATAACTCGATGTTCCAGTGACATAAGTCCTCAGTTGACTGCAAGCTGGCATTCAGATCTGCCTCTGTTGTTAAGTGCAATGCCCATATCTCAAAATCCAATTAATATTCAATGGATAGAACCAAGTCCCTTTTCGATGAGCTATTGTACATGTCACAAAAGAGAGGAAAAGATCTGTTTCTACTAATTTTTCCAATGAAAACCATCTGCTGGAAATTCTGAAACTGGTAAACACATGCCAGTTGGGCTTAAATGCCCAGGCAATCAATATGGAATTTTCCAGAAATCTTTGATTTCTCTTAATCGCTCATCCACAATTAAGAGTCCTGAACTTGTGTTTTCCAGTACAATACATGAGCAGCTTACTAAGTTAAAGACTTCTAGGATTTCTTCCTTTGTCTCTAATTCCTTCTCTTTCATCTTGTCTTCTTCAGGTGAAGATAGATCAGCCTCTATATCTCCATCTGGTTCTCCATCTCCTTCCAGAAATGAGTGCAGTATCACTCCTCTTACTCCCTCCCCGTTTCCAGTAAGATCCCAACAGACACAGTACTCTACCATGCACCCTCTGTAGTGCTTTAAATGATAAACATTGTCCTCAGAACTGGATTAAATGCCAAATCAGATGCTTTAAACTACAGTAATGTTGAAAGAGGATATGGTACCCCCAGACATATGCAATTATGCTTCTTTACTTAACACTAAGTCAGTTGGTTTAAAGCAGCACTATCATTAGCTAATCTTCCAGTCTGCAATCTGGGGCAGCACAAAAATGTTTTGTTTGAAAGCCAACTTACTCCTCACTTAAAGCCAGTGTTGGGGCGTACATAGTTATACAGTATGTAATGGCGTTACATAATTTAATTACAACATAAATGTAACTGTAATCCAATTACAGTTACTGAGAAAAAAAACGTGTAATTAAATTACAGTTACTTATGAAAATGTTAACGATTACAACGTGGGTTACATCTGAATATTTTCTGTAAAAAGCTATGATATGTTGAATAATATTATTTTGTTGCTTTGCCTGTTTTTGATGTGCATGATGCCTCCTGCTATTTAAAGGCTGTTTAGTAAAGCGATGCTATTCTGATGCTTTTGATTGGTTCTTGTTTGAATTGGCAGGGCACCCTGTCTGCCAATTCCATCAATCCATATTGCCGCTGAAAGCTTTAGGCTACAACCTGTTAAAGTAAAGCAATTGAAATAGTTACACTACTTATTACATTTTAAATAGAGTAACTTGTAATCTGTAACCTATTACATTTCCAAAGTAACCTTGCCAACACTGCTTAAAGGTGAACTGTGTCATTTCTGTGCAACTAGTCACAAAAAACAGGTTTCTCAAACACTCAACCGGTCTGCCACTGGTTGGACAACACATAGTCCTGACTCAAACTCATGCCATTGGTTGAACCAATAGCCCTGTCTCAGTGGTTTTTCACATGAAACGTGTTTTTGTATTCCACTGTGCTGCTCTTTTGTTGTTTTTGATGTCTTTAAACGCTGCACTCATGTCTCACGTCTTTTTAGCATCTCACAAATGACGCGCCATTCTAAAAACATGGCTGTCAAGTTGAAAAAAGTTAAACTTTTAAAAAACCTGTCTTGAGATCTTGTTTTTTTTCCAATTCCAATGCCTGCGTATATGCAAAAACGCATTTGTGTGAACGACCCCTTAGGAGTCATTCACACAGAATGCCATTTTGCATCCCCGTTCCCTCCTGTTTTTCTATTTAGATATGTACTGTACAGACGCGTTTCTCTTTTGCGCTTGTGTATTTTGTGTATTTTGAAGTGTCTTGCACACAACACAGCATTCTAAAAAATGAGGTGTTCAAGTTAAAGAATTTCAGCTTTTTAAAAATGTGTTCAGCCTTTAAAAAAGGACCTTGCTTTTTGACGTTGCTTTTCTTTCCCATTCCAGTGCTGTGCATCTTGCATTTTAAATGTCACCTTTATTTTCTGCGTTCCACTGTGCTACATTTACTTTGTGTCTTATGCAGCATCTTGTGCATGACGCAGTGTTCTAAAAAGCGCTAAAAGAAATTCAACTTTTAAAAAATTTATACTTTACCTTTTTTTTAATACACTGTCCTGCATCTCACATTTTATGCACAAAAACATATGTAAAAATCAGCTTTACATAACTAAAAAATAGTGATATGACCATAACCTGAAAATAATACATGATACATTCCACTCTGAGGTGGTCAATGTAAAACTCAGGTCAGGGAATTGATCTAGAGACAAGAGAAGAGAGGGAGAAGGTGGGGTCAGCTACTCTCCGTACCAAGGAGAACCTTTTGTAAAGCCACCCCTTTGAAAAAGAGATAAGGCAATAGATTTATTTTCTTTCTGTCTACCTTGTGTTCCCTCTGCAGCGGACAGAGGTTAGACCATGTGTGGCTCGTCCATTTTCTGTGGTTGTTGCTATAGATTTTGGCACCACCTCCAGTGGTTATGCATTCAGTTTCACAGAAGATCCTGAGACCATTCACATGATGAGGTATGACATCAGCACACAAACATTGTCTAACCTGAAGTTATTGTAACTCCCCCATCCATAGTCTTACCCTACATTTCTTTTTTTTTTTTTTTCACAGACGGTGGGAGGATGGTGACCCTGGTGTAACCAATCAGAAGAGTCCAACCTGTCTGCTGCTGACCCCTGACCTCCGGTTCCACAGTTTTGGCTTTGCAGCTCGAGACAGCTATCATGACCTTGACCCTGAGGAAGCCAGGCATTGGCTCTACTTTGACAAATTCAAAATGAAAATCCACAGCACTAGTGTAAGCAGAGCATCTATTGTATTTTGACTGTTGTTGATATATATATATTTGTTCAAGTAGAGTAATTGCTCAGCTTGGGGGAATCAAGCATGGTTGTTAAGGTATCACAACACTGTCAAACATATATCTACTGTCAGTCTGCAGCAGAGGATAAGGGGAGTGTATTATTTATGTCACATCTCGGTAAGCATTTCTGCAGCAGACTATTTTATTTTCAATAGGATCTCACTATGGAGACCGAGCTGGAGTCTGTTAGTGGAAGAAGAGTTCGGGCTATTGAGGTGTTTGCTCACGCCTTGAGGTTCTTCAGAGAGCATGCTTTAAAGGTGAACCTAAACACACAAAGCAGAATTTAAAAAAAAAAACATACTTACTCATGCAGTATACAGACACACACATATAAATAAGACAATACATTTATATTTTATAATTATTTACCTTATATATATATTTAATATTAGCTAGTTAACAATAGCACAAGTCAAGCACACCACCATGTACTGAAGTATTTTGCAAAGAGACTACCACTGTGTTGAAGAGTGCACAGCCATTACTGTTTAAATAAAACAACTTAGAGTCTTAATGGTGTTTGGCCAATCACCATCGTAACCACGGGCTCTACTCTTCAGCACAATGGTAACCCCAAAAACTCAGACATACCAGAAACCCTTTTAAATTCCAAAAGAATCGAACATTAAACACTAACAGCACTCCCCCTATAATAATATTGAGCAAAAACACATGAAATAACATTCAATTTTAACATTTACTCTCCTTTAATAGTCAGAAACAAAGCATGCTGGGAACTAGAAATCTGCTATAACTCATTCACTTCAAGAAACCTACCTGCAAAGCTACAATAATGTAAAAAGTTTTAGGCACTTGTGTAAAAATGCTGTAAAGTGAGGATGCTTTCAAAAATAAATGTTCTGTTTACCCTGGGGGGTTATTGCTGCTCTCCCTGCTCTCATCCATGCTAGGCTGCATGGATGCGCAGGGAGTTCTTGCCCAGAACAATCCAAACTGTATGCTAATTGTCAATCATCTTTGACGATAGTGGTCCTGACAGAAATATATATATATATATATATATATTACTATATTAAATATAGTCTTTTGCTTAACAAGCTGGTATAGACTCCAGCATACCAACAACCCTACACAGGACAAAAAGTTTGCAGAATAAATAGATACAATTTCTTTGTACTTGTACTTGATTACTCAAGAATTATTTGAACATTTGTGAAACATTTTTTAAAGTCTGTTTGTCTTGGTTATTCCTTTATTTATTTAGGCATTTTTTTTACAACCTATTTTAGTTGTGCAACTTAAATTTCCCTCCAGGGCCAGACTGAACATGAACAACCAGTATAATGTAGAGCAGTAGTGTGCTGTGGCTTTGCTCCAGATCTATCAGGATGCACTTTTCCTTCACTCAAACAAGAACACATCCAGTCTAGGTGAAGAGTGGGGGTTTGGGAAGGTGGAGGTTCTGGGCCAATCTGTAGTCAGACTTTCCTGGACCCAAACCTTCTTCCTCCTTCTTCCTGGAGCCCCTGAAGGCTTGTGGGAAAACATTAACATGGAGATTTCGCCCGAACCTCTGGTCATGCATGAGGGTCATGAGTTTGACATTTTTTTAGAGCGGAACGGAAATAAGGGATATCAATACCTAATAGACGTATGAAAATGTTAGTAATGTAGTTTAGATAAGAGTTGGAAAAGTAGTAATATTTGTGTGTGTGTTTTTCAGGAGGTGAAGGACCAGTCTTCCTCTGTGCTGGAAAGTAATGAAGTACGGTGGGTCATCACTGTTCCTGCGGTGTGGCGGCAGCCAGCTAAGCAGTTCATGCGAGAAGCTGCGTATTTGGTAATGTTGGATTACTGATCTGAGAAAACTGAAAAATTACAAATTCAAATACAAACACTTTCTTTCTCTTGTTCGTTCTCCTTTTTTTTCTTCCTCTTTTTCTTTTTCTTTCTCTTTTTTCTCTTTCTCGCTTTCTTCTGTCATGCAGACATACACAAAAGCATACTCCCATATTGAACATAATGTCCTGCTGCCCCCCAGTGAAGTTCAGGAAATGTGTGTATATGAAAAAGAATGCAAAAGTCACTGCACACATACAGTAAATGGGAATGTTGAAAGACTTTTGTATGAGCGTGAGAGGTATAGTGTGCCAAGAGGGCACTATAACCTGATATCCATCATATATGTGTGTGTTTGCCTGTGTGAAATATACTGTACTGCAGAGCTGTACATTTCCCTATGAGCAAAACCCTAAGAAATCAATCACACAGATTATTTTTGGCACAATATGTACATCTCAGGCCATACAACAATCAACAGTGCAGGAATTGTCATTAAAGAAAAAAATGCTGTTGATTCAATCACTAACAGCTGCTCAGACTCTGAGACCACTGAGATCTTCCTTCATTATACCCAAAACAGCCAACAGCTCTACATACTAAACAGGCTCATGTCAGAGCAGTATTTGTTCTAGTAGCCTCAGATCTTTATTTCTCTCTACCTTACTAGAGGTAAGGCAGATTGAGGTTAATTTTCTCTATGCAGTGTCACAGAGGTTAAACAACGCATGAGACCAGCACACAAACACAGGAAACCACGCCTGTCCTAGCCAAGCAGGAGAGGGGGAACGAGGCAGCCCACCGTCTCCCATTATAACTCCATGACCAATTGGGGCAGTTAACCGATACTTTCACTGTGTGTGGACACCTTTTCTTCTGTTACTTTGGTTACCTTGCTACCAGTTGTGCTCATTGTTCTCATGTTTTATGAAAAAATGCGAGCAGTACTTGATCCTAAAAATTGCCAGTTGATGCTAGGGTGTAGTGGGTGGATGCAAGGGTGTTACTGTACAGGCGCTCTGAGTTGCTAAAATGTTCTGGGTGGTTTCTAGGGTATTACTATGGTGTTTAATAACTGTCCCAAGTCAAAAGAACCCAAAAGTTCTTGTATCAGCTTTTATTTGTCCAGACAGACAATCAGTTGATGTGTTAGTGGTGGGGATTTTTCAGTGACTCTTTGAGCAGGTTACATTGTTACACCAGTAGGTGGAAATAAGTGTCTTTATGAGGACTCACTGAACCATTCACTTGCCCAATTTATTCAAAACACTGATTTATTCTGAAAATAAACATGTGACTGTCAGTATGAGTGAGTCATTGAATCGCTCACTCAACCAATTCATTCAAAACACTGATTCATTCAGGAGGAACCAAAAAAGTGTCTGTCTGTATGAGTGTATCATCAAATCATTCACTTAACTGAGTTGTTCAAAACACTGATTCATTCAGGAAAACAGACCCTTGGAAACACTTGATACTGAATTATTTATTAGTGTAAGTTACTCAATATTAATTCAAACCCTACTAAGACTCATGTTTTTTTTTATCCTATGGTAGGCAGGTTTGGTGACTCCAGATTCTGCAGAGCAGCTCCTCATTGCTCTCGAACCAGAAGCTGCATCTATCTACTGCAGGAAGCTCCATCTACACCAGGTCATTGACCTCAGTCAACGACCAGTAATCAACGGTTTAGATGTGGACGGGTCCTGCCCTTTCGATTCCAGTTTTAGGCAAGGTAAGAAAAGATTTTTGCTTTCTTTTTCTCAAATGATTAGCATTATACAAAATAACTAGCTCTTACATTGATCTAGATCTCTTGCTTTGAGTGTATAATGTTTCTCTATAAACATTAATGGGAACCATGCTCAAAGCATGGGGGAAACAGGATCGTTTTTCATCCCTTGAAAATAGAGTACTGTTTTTGTTTTCTGTGGGTATGTGCGAGTTTATGCATGGAGGATGGCTAGATCAGGGTCAAACTGATTCAGAACCAAGTGGGTCGGGAGGATGGTGACCCTGGTGTAACCAATCAGAAGAGTCCAACCTGTCTGCTGCTGACCCCTGACCTCCGGTTCCACAGTTTTGGCTTTGCAGCTCGAGACAGCTATCATGACCTTGACCCTGAGGAAGCCAGGCATTGGCTCTACTTTGACAAATTCAAAATGAAAATCCACAGCACTAGTGTAAGCAGAGCATCTATTGTATTTTGACTGTTGTTGATATATATATATTTGTTCAAGTAGAGTAATTGCTCAGCTTGGGGGAATCAAGCATGGTTGTTAAGGTATCACAACACTGTCAAACATATATCTACTGTCAGTCTGCAGCAGAGGATAAGGGGAGTGTATTATTTATGTCACATCTCGGTAAGCATTTCTGCAGCAGACTATTTTATTTTCAATAGGATCTCACTATGGAGACCGAGCTGGAGTCTGTTAGTGGAAGAAGAGTTCGGGCTATTGAGGTGTTTGCTCACGCCTTGAGGTTCTTCAGAGAGCATGCTTTAAAGGTGAACCTAAACACACAAAGCAGAATTTAAAAAAAAAAACATACTTACTCATGCAGTATACAGACACACACATATAAATAAGACAATACATTTATATTTTATAATTATTTACCTTATATATATATTTAATATTAGCTAGTTAACAATAGCACAAGTCAAGCACACCACCATGTACTGAAGTATTTTGCAAAGAGACTACCACTGTGTTGAAGAGTGCACAGCCATTACTGTTTAAATAAAACAACTTAGAGTCTTAATGGTGTTTGGCCAATCACCATCCTAACCACGGGCTCTACTCTTCAGCACAATGGTAACCCCAAAAACTCAGACATACCAGAAACCCTTTTAAATTCCAAAAGAATCGAACATTAAACACTAACAGCACTCCCCCTATAATAATATTGAGCAAAAACACATGAAATAACATTCAATTTTAACATTTACTCTCCTTTAATAGTCAGAAACAAAGCATGCTGGGAACTAGAAATCTGCTATAACTCATTCACTTCAAGAAACCTACCTGCAAAGCTACAATAATGTAAAAAGTTTTAGGCACTTGTGTAAAAATGCTGTAAAGTGAGGATGCTTTCAAAAATAAATGTTCTGTTTACCCTGGGGGGTTATTGCTGCTCTCCCTGCTCTCATCCATGCTAGGCTGCATGGATGCGCAGGGAGTTCTTGCCCAGAACAATCCAAACTGTATGCTAATTGTCAATCATCTTTGACGATAGTGGTCCTGACAGAAATATATATATATATATATATATTACTATATTAAATATAGTCTTTTGCTTAACAAGCTGGTATAGACTCCAGCATACCAACAACCCTACACAGGACAAAAAGTTTGCAGAATAAATAGATACAATTTCTTTGTACTTGTACTTGATTACTCAAGAATTATTTGAACATTTGTGAAACATTTTTTAAAGTCTGTTTGTCTTGGTTATTCCTTTATTTATTTAGGCATTTTTTTTACAACCTATTTTAGTTGTGCAACTTAAATTTCCCTCCAGGGCCAGACTGAACATGAACAACCAGTATAATGTAGAGCAGTAGTGTGCTGTGGCTTTGCTCCAGATCTATCAGGATGCACTTTTCCTTCACTCAAACAAGAACACATCCAGTCTAGGTGAAGAGTGGGGGTTTGGGAAGGTGGAGGTTCTGGGCCAATCTGTAGTCAGACTTTCCTGGACCCAAACCTTCTTCCTCCTTCTTCCTGGAGCCCCTGAAGGCTTGTGGGAAAACATTAACATGGAGATTTCGCCCGAACCTCTGGTCATGCATGAGGGTCATGAGTTTGACATTTTTTTAGAGCGGAACGGAAATAAGGGATATCAATACCTAATAGACGTATGAAAATGTTAGTAATGTAGTTTAGATAAGAGTTGGAAAAGTAGTAATATTTGTGTGTGTGTTTTTCAGGAGGTGAAGGACCAGTCTTCCTCTGTGCTGGAAAGTAATGAAGTACGGTGGGTCATCACTGTTCCTGCGGTGTGGCGGCAGCCAGCTAAGCAGTTCATGCGAGAAGCTGCGTATTTGGTAATGTTGGATTACTGATCTGAGAAAACTGAAAAATTACAAATTCAAATACAAACACTTTCTTTCTCTTGTTCGTTCTCCTTTTTTTTCTTCCTCTTTTTCTTTTTCTTTCTCTTTTTTCTCTTTCTCGCTTTCTTCTGTCATGCAGACATACACAAAAGCATACTCCCATATTGAACATAATGTCCTGCTGCCCCCCAGTGAAGTTCAGGAAATGTGTGTATATGAAAAAGAATGCAAAAGTCACTGCACACATACAGTAAATGGGAATGTTGAAAGACTTTTGTATGAGCGTGAGAGGTATAGTGTGCCAAGAGGGCACTATAACCTGATATCCATCATATATGTGTGTGTTTGCCTGTGTGAAATATACTGTACTGCAGAGCTGTACATTTCCCTATGAGCAAAACCCTAAGAAATCAATCACACAGATTATTTTTGGCACAATATGTACATCTCAGGCCATACAACAATCAACAGTGCAGGAATTGTCATTAAAGAAAAAAATGCTGTTGATTCAATCACTAACAGCTGCTCAGACTCTGAGACCACTGAGATCTTCCTTCATTATACCCAAAACAGCCAACAGCTCTACATACTAAACAGGCTCATGTCAGAGCAGTATTTGTTCTAGTAGCCTCAGATCTTTATTTCTCTCTACCTTACTAGAGGTAAGGCAGATTGAGGTTAATTTTCTCTATGCAGTGTCACAGAGGTTAAACAACGCATGAGACCAGCACACAAACACAGGAAACCACGCCTGTCCTAGCCAAGCAGGAGAGGGGGAACGAGGCAGCCCACCGTCTCCCATTATAACTCCATGACCAATTGGGGCAGTTAACCGATACTTTCACTGTGTGTGGACACCTTTTCTTCTGTTACTTTGGTTACCTTGCTACCAGTTGTGCTCATTGTTCTCATGTTTTATGAAAAAATGCGAGCAGTACTTGATCCTAAAAATTGCCAGTTGATGCTAGGGTGTAGTGGGTGGATGCAAGGGTGTTACTGTACAGGCGCTCTGAGTTGCTAAAATGTTCTGGGTGGTTTCTAGGGTATTACTATGGTGTTTAATAACTGTCCCAAGTCAAAAGAACCCAAAAGTTCTTGTATCAGCTTTTATTTGTCCAGACAGACAATCAGTTGATGTGTTAGTGGTGGGGATTTTTCAGTGACTCTTTGAGCAGGTTACATTGTTACACCAGTAGGTGGAAATAAGTGTCTTTATGAGGACTCACTGAACCATTCACTTGCCCAATTTATTCAAAACACTGATTTATTCTGAAAATAAACATGTGACTGTCAGTATGAGTGAGTCATTGAATCGCTCACTCAACCAATTCATTCAAAACACTGATTCATTCAGGAGGAACCAAAAAAGTGTCTGTCTGTATGAGTGTATCATCAAATCATTCACTTAACTGAGTTGTTCAAAACACTGATTCATTCAGGAAAACAGACCCTTGGAAACACTTGATACTGAATTATTTATTAGTGTAAGTTACTCAATATTAATTCAAACCCTACTAAGACTCATGTTTTTTTTTATCCTATGGTAGGCAGGTTTGGTGACTCCAGATTCTGCAGAGCAGCTCCTCATTGCTCTCGAACCAGAAGCTGCATCTATCTACTGCAGGAAGCTCCATCTACACCAGGTCATTGACCTCAGTCAACGACCAGTAATCAACGGTTTAGATGTGGACGGGTCCTGCCCTTTCGATTCCAGTTTTAGGCAAGGTAAGAAAAGATTTTTGCTTTCTTTTTCTCAAATGATTAGCATTATACAAAATAACTAGCTCTTACATTGATCTAGATCTCTTGCTTTGAGTGTATAATGTTTCTCTATAAACATTAATGGGAACCATGCTCAAAGCATGGGGGAAACAGGATCGTTTTTCATCCCTTGAAAATAGAGTACTGTTTTTGTTTTCTGTGGGTATGTGCGAGTTTATGCATGGAGGATGGCTAGATCAGGGTCAAACTGATTCAGAACCAAGTGGGTCTTAGTGAGTATGAGACCATGTGGTTTGGGTTAAAACAGAAAGAGAGAAGATGACATTTTCTTTAAGGTTAGAGTGTCCCCTGAGGTCACAGTGCTGAAAAAAAAACCTCTTTGAAGGATTGACACTGTGTTTCTTATCAGGGTTTGACAAAAGATAAAATGGTACTCTTTTACAAACACTCTTTTCATATTTATATACAGCAAAAATAAAGTACTGCACACACACACACACACACACGCGCACACACACACACACACACATTTCACATCATAATAGGAACAAGGTGCTGCAGACCATGAGCTCACCCTCCTCTTGACTGCTTACACTAGTTTCACTGGATGGTTTCTTTTATTCTTTCTTGCATTTTTGCTTGCTTGCTTATTCTGAAGTATTTGAGAATATTTTCCAAAATTTTGTCTTCAAAACATGTTTTACAATTGGACAACATTTACTGGCACAGGAAATCAAGGGACACAAACACACACTCCAGCTTCGGGACCTTTAGCTCCCAAGGGATTTTTTTTGGAGTCACTTTTCTTTTCTTTTTTCTTTTCTTTTCTTTTCTTTTCTTTTCTTTTCTTTGCTTTTCTTTTCTTTGCTTTTCTTTTCTTT